TTTAATCTTGCAAAAGCGTTGCTTTTATTTTGACATTAGAAATGAGTTCCTGAAAGCTTGAATTCTTAACTATCCTGTGAATTAACGGCTTCTTTATTCTATGTGCCTCTCATTTGATGGGTAATTGACAGCAGATACACCATTTTGGAGTCATCCTTTCAAGGCTTCCCTCCCCCCTTTGTCTAATCTCTTTGAAAAAGCATTGTTTTCTTGGGGATAATAACATCTTGATAAACGGAGCTTTCCAAACTGTACATCACAAAGACAGCGATAGCGCCCTACAAGTCGGTCTCGAGGAGCCTGCCATAGAGGGGGTGGGCGGATGCTAATTATCCTTTGGATTATGTCGCTGGTTTAGATTTCAGAATTAGAACATTAGTTACTCCTCAAACAGTGCCAGGGGCATAAGTATATCCCCATGTAACTCCATCTCCTTTTTCCTTTAGCATCTCTTTCCAAGTTTTTCTGTACCCAAGCATGTTTTACATGGTTGGATCTTTTATTATTTTGGATTAACCTGACATTATGTTTCCTCTAGTGCTAAATTGTGTGACAGTGATTCTTCATAACATTGTAATATGTGGAATGTATGTTTGTATTAATCCCTAATCTATTAGAAAGATATTTTACTCCGCAAAAATAAATATCCATTTTGTACTTTGAATTGTTGTATATTCAGTTATGTTCAGAGGTGCTCGCTCATGAGGACAGGTGTGGAGGCCAGAGTGGGGGATACTGTGTGCTTTTCTTAATTGATCCATCATCTTATTTTTTGAGATGTTCTCTCACTGAACCTGGAGCTCACTCATTGGCTAGGCTGGTTGGTCAGAAGGTTCCAGTATCTGCCTGTCCCTGCTAACTTTCTAGATCAGCTGGCAAGGTTATGTACATGTGTGCACCATAACACACAACCTGTCTCTGTGGGTGCTGGGGATGTGAACTCAGGTCCCCATGCTTCTGCATGAGTACATAGATACTTCTGTGCATATTAGCAACCCTGAATCTGCATCAACACCTGGAATTAAATCCATTGCATAAGAGTCGTTTCAGCCTTCCCTCTTCCATTATTTTTAGGACTTCTCATTCTCATTGACGACTATGGCTCATTATCACGTGAAGACATTTTTAACTCATTTGCTTTATCCTGTAATAAATCTAAAACAAATTCAGATTTAATTGTTGTTGTAGTCAGACTTTCCAATGCTGTGACAAAACACTGACCAAAAACAACTTGAAGAAGAAAGGGTTTGTTTCAGCTTACAGCATAATGTCTGTCATCCAGGGAAGTCAGGGCAGGATCTTAAAGCAGGGACTGAGGCAGGCACCATGGAAGAGTGTGGTTACTGGAAGCTAGCTGCTGGCTTGCTCCCTATGGCTTGCTCAGCTGGCTTTCTTATACCACCAAGGTCTACCTGTCCAGGGATGGTCACAGGGGCCTGGGCCCTTCACTCATTAATCAGGAGAATGCTCTGGGTACTTGCCTACAGGTTTAACTTACGGAGACAGTTTTTCAGTTAAAAGTTATTCCAAGATGTCAAGTTGTGTGTCAAGTTGACATAAAAACTAGCCAGCACAACCACATTGTCTGTATCTCTATAAAAAGGTTTATTTTTTTAAAAAAAGTTCAGCTATTTAGTGTGTTCTTTCCTGACTTTGAATAAGATTAAGAAATAGGATTATTTGAATTTCCTTTACTCTCCTTTTCAAAATGATTAACATTAATTTTAAATACTATTAAGATTATTTGCAATTCTTGCTTCTATTTATAGTCCTTTTTTTTTTTGATAAAAATAGGTGTTTTCAAAAGTCAATGTCATGTACAAAAAGGTACACTGAGAAGTGTCATTCCATCCAGCCACAGGGAAGTGTAATCCCTTCTACCATTGGAGTGCATGTTATTACTTCCTATCTAGCCTTCTTAGATGTCTTTTTGAATAGGCAAATATACGTGTATTCTGTTATTCGCCCATCATTCAAAAGGTAAGAGCATGCTACATACTTTTTTCTGTAATTTGTTTTTATTTTCTCCTGTAATAGTTTCTCTTGGAAATCACTCCAAATTAATTCACAGAGATTTTTTTTTTCTTATAAGAGCTTCAAAGTTATCCGTTATGTGTTTTTATCATAGTTTCTCTAGCTTGGACATCTAGTGTTCGATCTTCTACAGATCTAAGAGCTACGACAATGGACAACCTTGGGCATAACATGCTGTGTTGTTGGGAGTCAGAGCTTATAGTTGGTGCTCAGATGCATGGACAGAAAAACAATACAGGCTTTGAGGCTGTTTCAAAAAGCGTAGGGTCATACCGCTCTGCAGTCTCGTCAGCAACTCGAGAGAAGAGTGTTCTGCACATCTTTGCTAGCACAGTGTTATCATAAAGTTTGAATTTTGCCAAGTTGTGTGTGAAAAACTTACTGTTTATCATTTTAATCTTTCTCACATAAATAAAAAGGCAACTTTTTTATATGTTTGAGGGTCATTTTTTAGAAATTTTAAGTAACTTTGTGGATGTCTTTGGTCCATTTTTATCTTCTGAAATTAAACAAAATTCAAGTTGCCTATTTGGCAGAGTGTCTTTTGATACGACTCATGCTAACTGCAGGCAGGACAACAGAAGTTTTGTGGATTAGCCGTGAATTGCACTCTGTAGACACTCTTGATATGCAAGCAGGGCACTGGGACAGTGGGGATGATCTTAGGAGGTCCTCTGCTCACCTTCTGAACGACACTTGCTTCTGAGGCTGGTCAAGTCACACTGGCAGCACAGCAAGCAGACAGCAGTGACAGCATTAACCTCTTAAGATTATCTTCCAGATTCAACAACTTAACGTATAAAACACTTTAAGCAGTGCCCAGAACAGGAAGTATTCCATAGATATAAGACCATTGTCTCAGAATGCTGATCTGATCCTATGAAAATGCTTCAGCCTAGTACTGTGGAACCTGGAAGTTTAGAAGCATTAGGTGAATCAGTAGGAGATTCAGAATTTTAATTCATTCATTCACCAATTTACCCATCCTTGAACACTCCACAAGAGGAATGAACCCCCATTTTGTTGTTGTCTCATCACTTTCGTCTTTGGTATCCCAGAGCAAGATGACTGTGTGGAATCAAAGAATGAAGGAAAGAGTGACTGACTTGAGAACGAGGCAAGAAAGCAAAAAGAAAAATGGCAGAGTTTACATCATAAAAAAGGCTTTGTCAACTGTAGTTTGGACTTTACCCTGAGCAGAGCAACCCCGTGATCATATTTGTTTGAAGAAATCTCAAACCTGCAGCTGGGTGAAGAATCTACAGGAGAAGGGAAATGCCTTGTTACAGGGGACTGGGGGTAAATAAGGGGCTGAGTGAAGTTGCAGGCTAGGGTGTCCTGGAGAACAAGTGAGTTAGGGAGAGATCCAGGAGTGGCAAGGATGATATAAGACTTGTTGGGTGGAAAGAGGAGACCATGGGTCAGTGTTCACTCGGTGATCACCTGAGTTAGCTTTCTCTATATCACTGGAGCCAAGAGGTGTGGATCTGTCTGGGGCAGTGTAGCTGACCGATGAGATGTCTGTGTCTGATAGCAGAACCCCCTCAAAGGACCAGGGACCAGCAGCACAGCTTTGGGAAGGACTAACGTTCCCAGGATCTGATAGGGTATACCCAGTGACACATAACAGCTAACAATAAACGGGAGCTTAGGCTTTGAAGGCAAAAATATTCATCTTGGCATCTTCTTTCATGCCCAAGGTAGTAACTGCACACTGCAGAGTGTACTGCACACTGCAGAGTGTACAATATCCAATAGTTATTATATAGGGAAATTATGAAAGAAAATCTAAAGTCTGATGTGGAGGCCTATGCCCTTAACCCCAGCACTCAAGAAGCAGAGGCAGGTGACTTCTGTGAATTCGAAGTGGGTTCCAAGATAGCCAAGGCTCTTACACAGAGAAACCATGTCTTGAAAAACAACAACAACAACAAACAACCAAACAAAAATAAAATAAAATAAAATAAAATAAAATAAAATAAAATAAAATAAAAGCAAGGAAGCAAGCAAGCAAGCAAACCTATTATTAAGCAAGCACCTTACTAGGTTGCTCAGAAAACATGGCACCAGCACACAGGGAGTTAGGGGAGAAAGAGCTCATAACTTGTGTTTCCAAAGATAGAGAACAGGTGATTTAATAATCCCCAGACAGTCCAACAAAAGCCCCTCTGGAATGTTGCCCTCCAAGGTTTGATGACTCTAACACTTTTTTTTAGTGGTTCCGTGGAATTAAAGGTTGCGAAGTTTAGGCTTAAGAGATGGGGGAAGGGCAGCCATTTGGACACCTGGGCTCCCACATTCACCAGAGAAAAGGAATTTCTCACGCAGCCGTGGTTGTGGTAAATTCATGAGACTAGGAACTGTGTTCCACAGATGCTTCCACAGGTTGACATTTCTGTTATGAAGTTTCTGGAACTTTCTACATGATGTCACTGGATCCCCAGAAGAAGGGTCATCACAGTTAGGAAAGGGTGTGTTAGAATCCCTTCTCTGATCAGAGCGCTTTTTTGGGTACCAGATATGCATAGTTGAGAGTAAAGTAGGCTCTCAGAAGCCGATGGGGGAGCTAATGGCAAAAAATTGTAAGATAGTGGTGGAAAGAGAAATCCTTTCTGTGTAGGGCAAAGAAAATATCAAGAGAAGCCTGGCACTAGCTTCGCAGGGGAGAGGGCTGGGGATAAGAAAGCTGGGAGGGAAAGGAAGCGAATGTAATCTCACGTGCAGAGTCAACACATTAGAGATGCGAAGAGAACTGGGGAAGGAGGGACTTGGTTCTCCGGAGATGCCCTCTCCGCCCTGCGGCAAGGGGGTGTGGCACCGAGCGCGGGAAGGTGGGGGCGCGATGGTGCAAGCCGCATGGGGTCCCCCAAGTCTTCCTAGAAGTTTGAGAGGCGCGGAGCTCCGCGGCAGGCTGGCTGGGGCGGAGGCAGAGCGAGGGCGCGGATGGGCGTGGCTGGGCCGCGCAGGGCGGCGCAGTCAGAGGGCGGCGCTAGGACCCGCAGGCCGCCCCGCCGGCTCCCGGGAGGTTGATAAAGCGGCGGCGGCGTTTGACGTCAGTGGGGAGTTAATTTTAAATCGGTACAAGATGGCGGAGGGGGACGAGGCAGCGCGAAGGCAGCCGCAGCAGGGGCTGAGGCACCGGCGACAGACTAGCGACTCGAGCGTCGGGGTTAACCACGTCTCGTCCACGACCTCCCTAGGTACGGGCCGGCGGGGCCGAGGCCACGGGGGCCGGGAGTCCAGGAGGCCGCGGCCGCTCGGGTTGGCGGGGACCGGTCGCCCGGTGGGGTCGAAGACCGCGGCTGGCTGGGCTCGGCTCTCGCCGCCGCGTCTGCTCCCTCGCTCTCTCGCAGGGCCTAGCCTCAGCCGCGCCCCGCGCTCCGCCGCGCGGCCTGAGAGGGCAGCCCGCGGGCCTCGGCTCTCACAGCTGGCGGGTGAACGGGCAGCCCGGCCCCCTGCCCGCCGCCGCCGCCGCCGCGTGGCTGCCGCGGTGTCCGCCCCGACCCAAGGGGGCGGCCTTGAGTTGGGGCCGCGGGGCCGGGACGCGCGGAGGTCGGCGGGCGGTGCGGGGTCGGTCACCCGGCGGGCACTCTCTGCCCTCAGTGCCTAGCGCGGGCCGGGCAGGGAGGGACGAGCGGGACGCGCTGGGCCCCGCGGCGGCGGAGGACGCGGGAACCGCTGCCACCTGGCTGCCAGGTCGCAGAGCTCTCTCCACACACACACACACACACACACACACCCTTCCCGATGGGAGCCGCAGTCCGCAGGCCAGGGCTGGGGCCCGGGCTCGGCTTCACCAGCTCTTGGATCCGCCAAACCCATTCGGACGAGTTGTGCATGGATTGGCTAGGGTTGCAAGTGTTGGCTTCGGTTGTCAAACTGGGGTTAGGAGCCCTGGGGCTGCTAGTCATTCGCTTCAGGCTGAAAGTGTCTGGTATGAAGTCACCTGATCCGTCGTTCCTGGGTTTTGCTGAATGTGAGCTCTTACTGTATGTGTACATGGCGCCCCTGTCCCCTCCAAGACGCAGTTGCGTTGGCAGCGCGGTGTTGTGTGTTGCTCTCACTCACAGCACCCCTATTTTTAGGAGTTTAGCATTTGATCTTTCACCGTGGTGCGAATTGAACTCGCAAAGTCCTTACTGAGAGTTGTGATGATTAAAGGCATAAAGTTTTTCAAAGGCTTAGAAATAGTAAGAGCCTATGGTTAGTTAGATAGTGAGGTCAAGATAAGCGTAGAGTAAACACACTTAGTGTGAGATTGCTTTTGTATTTCCTTTTTCACAATCTGATAAAGTTTTACTGGATGAAATTTAAAACATTCTGATTAAATATTTACCACAGACACTTTATAGAAAACTTTAGACTACATTTCATCATTTATGGAGGCTCTTGGATGTATGTCAGAGGTGAGGATAATTAGAATTTTCTTATGAGAAAAAGAAAAGGAAATGAAGTTTGGTACCTGGTACCTGTCAACTACAAACTCTCGTCAGAACTGTTTACAATGGTAGCCCTCTGCCCTTGAAAATAATTCCAGAGAGGCTTTTTTAAAACTTTAGGTGGCTGATTTGCTTTGGAATGCCCCTCTCTCTCTCTCTCTCTCTCTCTCTCTCTCTCTCTCTCTCTCTCTCTCTCTCTCTCTCTGTGTGTGTGTGTGTGTGTGTGTGTGTGTGTATGTGAACAGTTTGAGATGTAGTATCAACATACTTTATGTATGCAATAGGAAAAGCATACATTCGATTCAGTCATGGTTCAGAGCATGCATTTATGCTATTGGACGCTGAGAGGAGATGAGAGACTTGGGACTGTTGCTGCTGCCTTTGGCTACTTTGTGGGTTTCTTCCACACTTTCAACCCCCTACAAAAGATAGAGAGGAAAGAGATTCCTGAATAAAGTCAGGGGTGGGAAAGGGGGATATTATTGTTAGACTCCTTCCTGCTGACCTGACGTCCTTGGGGGCAAGTTTGATCTTAGCCGCCAGGATAACTAATATTTTCTTCTTGTTTCTTCTTTGTATCCGACTATTTAACAAACCTCCACCAACAACAAACAACCAATAACTCACACTGCCTTGTGGGGCCCTAGCATTTATATACAGTCTGAAACTCCCCAGAATTCCAACTGTCACACAATCACAGAAGCTATCTGCAACTGGGAAATCCTAGTCTGCTGCTGTGGACAATCTGAAACAGCCCCATATTCCACACCTGGAATTAAAATGAAAACGGACTCTTGCAATATTTTTGTGTTTCTTTCAGAAACCAAAACTCCAAAATTGTCACTACAAACTATTGACAAGTAGTGCTTGCCTAACATTTATTAACTGTTCTGCTGCTGCTCATAGACATCGGCCTTTCGTTTGGTGGTCATGTGTGGAAGACTTTCACTTAATAGCCATTCCTGTCAAATGACTTCTAAGGCAGGCCCTACACCTGCCAGTTTGCTTCTGAGTCACCTGCATTACAGACTAAATTGTGTGCTTGTGTGAACTCAGGTTAAAAAAAACAACCCCAAGTCTTTTCCCTCCATGTGTTGAAGATCAAACCGAGGGTAAGTGCTATATGTTAGAACCCACCTCCAGAATGGATTTAGGATCCAACACTCAATGGAAGAGTATGGTTGACCTAAATTGATAGGATTCTAGGATTCTTTCTGTAAGCTCAGTCTGTTTGGTAAAGTGCTTTGAAATTCTGTGTGATTCTTTTTATGGGGAGGAGGAGAAGAAGCTACTTTACAGTAAAGGAATTATTATAGGAAAGAAGTCAGGAGAGAAAATGAGACTGTAGCTGTAGGTGAAGTCCACATAGGTGTACAGGTTTTCAGGGGTTTGATTTCTTTGTTTCTTTTTAAATATTTATTTTTTTAAAATGTGTGTGTGTGCACACACGCGTGCACGTGTGTGAGTGTGTGTGCTTTGCTACAGGTGCCCACAGAGGCCAGAGATGTCAGATCTCCTGGAGATGGAGTAATGGGTTATTATGAGGCATTTTATGTGGGTTTTGGGAACTGAGCATGGGTTCTCTGAAAGAGCAATATGTTGTCTTCACTGAACCGTCTCTACAGCCTTTCTTTTTTAGTGTGGCTTTTAACTTTGTGGTAAAATTTAATTATTCCCCAAACTAAAATTGTCAGACCTTTTCCTAGATCACACCTTTCCATAGCTGGGACTAGGCAGCTCCTTAGGGTGACTAAAGCCAGCCGGGGGATGCTGCTGGAGTTGAAGACATTCTGTGAGACACACTAACAATTCTTGTTTATGTTCAGTTGGAACATAGGTTTGACGTACAAATGGGAGCAAAGCTTTTTCAGGTAAGCTTTCAAAAGCCAGAAATGTTAGGTATAGAAATAGGAATAACTTTTTAAAATGTTGATTTAATGACTTTATAAGGAGGGTTTTCTTTGGGGAAAGTACAGAGAAACAATTTTTATTTCTTTTCCTCCTCATTAAATGCAGTGGTATTTTGATTTTGTAGCCATTTGATGTTTTTAGATCCCAGGTATGTTACTTCAGAGAAATCAGGCTTTTTTTTTTTTAAACCTTAAGGAAGATAGATGTCACCACAGAGTAACTGAACATGATCTTACAATGAATTTATTTCTGAAGTTTTGTTTCATCTCCTATTCTCTTTTGCCACCAAGATATGGAACCTGAACATCGGATGACAGGTACTATTTGGTGCTTAACAAAGTACTTTCAAACCTCTGCATTTTATTTCTTAAAGCCTCTGTTGTGGGGAGGAAGTTCAGTCACTATTCCCACTGAAGGGGGTGTGTGCTGTTTCTCCAGCACATGAACTTCTCAGGTACTTGATGCATTTCTCAGCAGCTTTAGAGGAGGTGAGGCCTTCAGTGGATTGCACACATGACTAGAGATGACTGACTAGGCTCTGCTGTTTGAGTGAAGTGAGTGGGCTGGCTTTCTTGTTTGCTTTCCGTGTGGTGCTTAAGATTGACCCAGGCCCTTGCAGGCAGAGCAAGTGATTTGTCACAGAGCTGTCATTGTGATACTATCCTTGAGATGAAGAGTAGGCAGGCAAAGGTGGAGCCTGTTGAAAGAGAAGGCAGTGAAGTAGGCAGCCCTGCCTGTTAGGGGCTGTGAGGGTCCTAGGGTCCTGAAGTGCAAACTCAAAATAGCTGTTTAGCAGTTTTCACGCAGTGGCTACATTGTCTATGTCTGTGTTTGTGTGTACACACATCAGCTAGGATTTTCTGGTCAATTACTGATTTTCACCACCCTGAGGTATATAGTAGTTGATTTTATGGGCGTATGACATTTAAGTCATGAAAGACTAATTAATAATCTGCATTTTCCCAACGAGATAATATGCACTTTTAACGAACTAGTACATGGTTTTCTGGCCAGTACAAGTAGAGTAAAGGGGATTAACTTTCAAACTTTAGTTTAATGGAGATTATTTCATAGAACTGCATCTCTGTGACTGAAACTAGTGTAATCAGGCTGCCCAGATAGCTTACTGTCAGAACTCTAGGTGCAAACACAGATGCCCCTGATGAAAGGTGGTCATCTAGGATCTCTAGTACCTTTTTTTTGTTTTTTTTTTTTTTTTTTTTTTTTTTTTTTTTTGGGGCAAAATTTCCAATTGGGACCATGGTCTTTAATTCTAGAGAGGGATAGTAATGTAGGGGGAGGAGTTACTATAAACTGTGACTGAAACTCTGATCTGTAGTATTCATAAGCTACTGATAAGGCCTTTGTGGGGAGGAGATGATAGAGTTTATGTTTGTTACTTCCTAAAACTTGTTTGTGCGTCTCTTTATTGTTGTATTAATACACAGATCAAAAGCAATTAGGGAAGGAAAGACTTGTCTGGCTTACATGTCCTGTTCACAGTCCATCACTGAGGGAAGTCAAGGCAGGAACTCCAGCAAGGACCATGGAGGAAGACTGCCTACAGCCTACTGCCTTGTTCTCCATGGCAAGCCATGTTTTTTTCATACCACCCAGGACCACTGTCCAGGGATGGCACCACCTCTAGTGGGCTGGGCCCTCTCACATCAATTACTAATCAAGAAAATTCCCACAGGTATGCCTACAGGCTATATGGTGGAAACATGTTTTTTTTGTAGCTTGTGTCAGGTGCCAAAGTATGTAGTAGTAAGTGTGCCTACCAGCTAGAGCACCACATGCAGTGCTTCTCTCCTAGTGTGGGGTCTCAGGATCAAACTCAAGTCTTCAGG